CAATTACTCCAAGCACCCTTTCTGGACAAAGCAATGTGGAAGGTCTAATATTCTACTTCTTAAGAAAAAAATATCATTATAGCTAAGGAGCATTAACTCCAACACTTGAATACTAGAAAGATTTTGCTTTATCTCTCTTTGCCCGTATTATTTAGTCCAATTTTTTCCCTTTAATCAGGGGTTTTGGCACTGGATGGTGGCTCTGCTGCACTGGTCAAGGTTCATACCACAGGCAGTAGATTTTACCCAGATGGCTTCTGGTTTTTTTTTCCTTTTTAAAATAAGTCACATTCATGGCTGAGGTTGATATGAGGGCTTCTGTCCATTGGCAAATGACATTGTAGCCACAGGCCTCTTATTAAAGCTTGAGTGAAAATGTTGATTACTAGTATTTGTAGCCAGATTTTGTTCATGCCTGCCCACTAGTTTTGTTTGGATACCAAGAAATTATGGACTGTATTATTTGAATTAGGATAAGGTATTAAACCTTAGGAGCCATTCTGCAGCAAAGACTGTCTATAAAAGATTATTGGAAAGCACTCCCTTGACCAAGTCAGTAAAATTGGCTTAGTCATGAGAATTCCAAGTGAGTTTTCTGACCTTGAGATGTAGACACAGGGCCAAAAATTATCATCAGAAGACTGAGGATAAATGCTGATCTGTATTTTAACAAGAGGGTTTTAGTGCTAACTTAATCATAAAACTCAACCCCATCATTTCAAGTCTTTAAACATTCTAGATGTTTGTCTCAGAAAATGGAAAACATTCCCTCAACATTATTATCAGTAACATGTTGTGTCACACAATTCTCCCAGTTCACATACTTAGTTCCTTTTCTTTCTTTTTTTCTTTTTTTGTTTGTTTATTTTTTTTAAATGTTTTTTAGATGGTTATAGCTAGTAATAGCCCTTAATTGTGCTGGATGCCAAGAGTTCCATTTTGGTATAATTTTCATGGCAGAGTGCATAAGCTGACTCTGTTCCATCCATCTACACCTCCACTCCTGGTGCCATGGTTACCCCTGGTTAATCCACACTGCTGGCTTTTGTTGTTGTTCTTTTCATCTACCAAAGTAACTACTGTCACCTTGGAAATTAACTGCAGGGTCAAAGTGCTTCAATACACAAAGGACACAGACTGTCCTCTCATGTAGTTCCATTGTTATACAAATTATGTCTTTATTCGTTGAACACCCATCAACATATTTATAATTACTGCTTTATGCTGTTGTTTGTTGACTCACATAGAAAAAAGAAAAGTTAAAAACAAAAATACACTTTATTCTGCATTTATATTTTCCTACATCATTACTTTTACCATTGTTCTTTCTTCTTTATATGGATTCTAGTTCCTCTCTGGTGTAATTTTGAGGCTGAACTACTCCCTTTAGTGCTTTTTTAGAGTAGATTTGCTAGTGATGTATTTTGTCAGTTTTTGTTTGTCTGAGAATGCTTTAATTTCTTCTTCATTTCTGAAACATAGCTTTGTTGTTTTCAGGATTCTTGTTTACCATATTCTATGAGAATTTTGAATATGTTCTCCAAGAGCTCTTTGGCTTCCATAATCTCTAATGAGAAATCATTGAAAATTCTTTCTCAGTCTCTCTCCTACATGATGAGTCATTTCTTTCCTGTTACCAAGAGTCTCTCTTTGTCTTTGGCTTCTGGCCACTTAATTTTGATTTATGTAGGTGTGGATTTCTTTGAGTTTTTCTTTTCCTAGTAATGTTTTTATTGAATTTTTCATTATCTTTAAGTTGGCCAATTCCTTCTCCTGCCGCCCAAATGTGTTGTTAAACTCTTCTAATAATTTTTTTATTGTTTTATAGTTTTTAATTCTATAAGTTTTATTTGCCTTTTAAAAAAATTTTCTATCTGTATATTGACAATTTCTATTTGGTGAAATATTATTTTCATATTTTCCTTTAGTATTTTTAGACAAAGTTTGGTTTAATTCTTTAAACGTATTAAGGATGGCTGTTTAAAATTTTGTCTAGTAAGCAAAAAGTCTGAGTTTTCTCATGGCCAGTTTTTATTGATTGCTTTTAATTCTTACTTATGAACTATACTTTCTTGTTTCTTTGTATGTCTGATAATGTTTGTTGCATTTAAATAACAAAATGTGAAAACTTTTTAAATAATAAAATTTGACAACTGTGAAAATCATATTCTCCTCCCTCCCTAGGGTTGGTCAGTTTTACATTTTGTTATTATAGATTATCTGTTTATTTAGTAACTTTTCTGAACTAATTCTTAAGTCTTTATTCTTTGTCACATTTGGACACTGAAGTTTCTGCTTAGTTAGTTTAGTGGTTAGTGAGTGATTGGATAGACATTTTATTAAGTGCTTAGATCCAATAATTCTGCCGGTGTTTGTTCAGGATCTCTGTGCGCATTTTGAGCACAGCTCCAACACCTACCCAAGAAGTTGAAAACTGACTTAGTCTTCACTTTCTGCATTACAAAGCCTCCAGGTCAGCCAGGAGTGAGAGCTCAGGACTTCTCACATCGTTCTTGAACACAGGCAACTGTACTTGGAACATGTACCACCTTCTACCTACCTGGGTGTGGACTTTTATATTCCCAGGAACATATCAGAAGTTTTCAAAACCTCAATGGACATCTCATTCTACAGCTTTTTGCTTTTCTCTAAGCTTTATGGCTAACCAATTATTTATTCCAGCTATTATCGGCCACCTTATGCTACCATGAAATTAAGGAATTATCTCTAAATATTTTCAGCAAGTGTCCTAGGGAAAAGGCTTTTCACATTGGGCAAGCCCCAAGTTAGGTTTCATAAAGACACCTACCACGGGTCTTCCAGGGAGCCATCTGCCAGGTCAAATAGTAATAGTTCTCTGGGAATAAGACTGGTGGCTGGCTGCCATGCTTTAGAATTCAGTGATTAAAGGCTATATTTTTTTAAGGCTACCAGGGTATTATAGAGAGGGAAATTAGAATAGAGCAAGTTAAAGCACCACAAAGCTCAGAAATCTTATCCAAAAAAAAAAAAAAAAAGGTTCCAAATGTTTTTCCCCCTTTTTATTGCTTTTACGGAGGAAATAGTTTTCAGATGCTCTTACTTCACCATTTCCACTTCTCTATCTTTTATAATACAGTAGCATTTAATATCACTAGAAATGAAAATATTTCCATTAGCACCTGCTAATAAGTACCAATTATAGGATGAAAATAAGATTTATTTTACGTGTATGATTTAAATCTAACTTATAATCAAGATTCAATATTAAACTCAGCATTTTGGGAAATGCATCTTAATATTCAGAAGGCCATAATATTTTTATAACTAACACTTCAACTATAGATAATTAGATACAGTTCTTAGTATTACTCCTTTCCTTCACACACTTTCCTCTAAACTCCCTGATACTTTAGAGTTACCTGGCTCCCATGATTATCTTCTTTCTGAAGTTTAGAACTCATGAGATGACTTACAAGCACGTATGCATTTTGGTGTAACTCTCCTACATGTGAGGTATAGCAGCCACATACTGTTCTGGGAGCTAAACAGGATTCCTTTCTTTCCCTTAAACCTGCAGGTTCCTGAAGGGCATTTAAGTGATGCTGTTTGCTTTGGCTACGCCCCACTATACTAATTCAAGCCTTTTCAAGGGTATGATTTCTGAAATTGCATTTTCTAAATCTAGAAAGTGGAGTGAATTCTGTGTATATATTTTTATTTTATAAGCCCGTGATAGTAATGCATTTCTTTTTCTCCTTTCAGGCTCTGTCAAGAATTTACAGCCAAGATTTTCATGGAAAACAAGTCCATGCTTAATTCCTGGTGCGCCTGTGATAAAAGGCAAGTAATCTCCTCAGATGGTTGCCAGTTTCATTATTTTTCAATAAGAAATTAAACCATCAAATTTCAGATTGCACCATTTTTAAACTATGGTCATTCTAAGGAATTGTTATCAATACGATGTGTTGACCCCTCCCTTCCCATTTCAGCAGACAGTATTATAAAATTTTCAAATTTTCTCATAGGAATTAGTGAATGACTAATTATGCCACACTATCTCAAAATAGAAATTCTCTGCCGCTATAACCACAACATATGAAACAGTGCCACCAAGAGCATTACTATGGTGACCCAATAATTAGAGAAAAATTGATTCCTCTTATGTCAATAATGGCTGCTAAAATGAACATCAGTCATTTGATAAACATTAGACTGTACGCCCAATGTAAGCAATGATTACATATATTTTACTCAGTATCAGATCCTCAGATCGAAACACAATTCCTTATTAATAATGGATGCTAAATAGCATGTGGTGAATGGCTTTCATGCTCAAACTCTATTTCATTAACTCAAACATAATTTACCTGTTGTGAATAGGATCACACTCCCCTGCCTCTATACTTTTATACATAATACTGTATATATCAGTAAGATTTTGTAATTTACAAAAACATTTAAACACAAAATTTTCTCACCTGAGATTCTAAACTGAACTATACTTTATTATCACAGCTTTTCTGATAATGACATTTGGATTGGGGGAGCTCCAGTGGGATTTTTCAAAGTCACAAGTGAAAGACTGTGAAGAAGAGAATCTGAACTCAGGACTTCTGACTTCTGAGTCTCTGTGTATTTCACGATATCCACATAGTTTAAGTACCATTTGTCAAAATTTACAGTCCATCTTTCTATTAATTACTTTATAAGGTCCCTTCTCCAACCTTAAAGATAGACAGGGTTTTGGTTACCTAATATTGCATAGCAAATCGCCCCAAAACTTGGTAACTTGAAGCAATTATGTCTTATAATGTGCATGAAATTAGTTCAGTTGCATATTTCTTGTTTGAGGTCACCTCCCAAATTGGCAGTCAGATGGCGAAGTGGACTAGAGTCATCGGGAAACGCAACCGAACCGTGCATGCGAGGGAGCTTCCTGGGCCACACGCCTGACGCTGCAGGCAGGCCCCCCCCACGGCTGCCTGAGTGTCCCACAGCCTGGAGCCTCGGGCTATGGAGCGCGGTCAATGACAACTGGATTTCTCACAGAGCACACACCCCAGGGGAGCAAGGAAGGAGCATGTCACATCCTATCGCCTGCTCAGTGCCAGCCCTGACTACACGAAAATGTGAGCACTGGTGGAAGGAGTCACTCGGGGCCTTCAGTCACTAGATATCAGCAGCCCGAGCTATCATGATGAGCATGTATATCTAGAGCCAGGTCCATTTACTTACCTATAGCCTAGGTTTGACCTACTTTTTGGCCTTAGTTTCTATACCTTTTGAAAATATAGCAATTACTTCCTTTCAAGGAAGTGGAGGGGTAAATCATAGGAAAGAACCTAAAATGCATAATTTTCAGGAAAATGTTCTCTAGTAATAAAATAGGATGTGGCTTTGTCTTTGGCAGGTGGAGTGCTAACAGAGTAACCACTCTCAAAGCAAGGAAAGCATGGGTTGTGCATTTACATGCAGACATGCTGATGAATTTGGTGGTAGGAACATCAGGAAATTATCTTCTGACTTATTTAATTTTCTCAGTTAAATGAAGAATCAGGCCATCCACGGAGAAAGGACAGGGGAGAAATGCTGGAGGTTTAAGGGGAGGGGAAAGTTAAAACTCAAGTGGATATATATGCCAAATAAAACCAGAAAACATTTTTTAGGGATTAATATAGATGGTTAGAAAAGAAAGGGTTTTGCTTTTCTCAACTCTGGAATTACATGCTACACTGGTCTGGAGCTGCTAACAACCATCTTTCCAAACATGTGGAAAAGTGTGACTGAAAATAAAGCCAGCAGTGAAAAAAGCAGCCCAGATATGAAATAGGAGATATTAAAATCTCACGTAACCTTTTGAGGACATGGCAGCAGCCACGCTTAAACACAGAACTCCCCCTGAGATTTTCCATTATGTGAGTGAACAAATTCCTGTTTTGATTAAGATTGTTTATGGTTTGGGGGGTTTTTTGTTTATTTATTTGGTTGTCACTTGCAATCAAAAGAGTATTTAATACATCAGATAACTGAGTGTATATTAAGTTTTAAAGGGTGAATTTTTTGAATGACCAGAAAATGTATACAGAAAAGATGGCCTGGCAACTTAGTTATCAGGATGGGTTTTAGAGCCAGAAAACTGAATTTGAATCCTAGCTGTTCCACTTACTGATATGGGTAACATTTGGATTTATTTAATCTCTCTGAACTTTATTCACATCTTCATCTGTAATTAAATGTAATGATAAGAACTACTATGTATTAAGTCCTAAGCATTACACCCATGTTTTACACACATTATCTTAATCAAATGTAATCCTCCAGTGGAGCAGGCATTAGTCTCTCGGTTTTCCGCACAGGGAGAGTGAGACTTAGGAGATTAATAAGCAGCCTAACATTCCACGGCCAGTTAGGTGGCGTTGAGCACCTGGTTGTATTACCTCAACCCTAGAGTGACCCTCCGTCCCAGTCCACTTGGGTCTTTTCTGGTCTGTGCCTGTTGTGCCCGCATCCCGTCTGGTTGGCGCACCCTTTCGCTTGCAAAAAGCCTTCACTGGGACAGTAAGTGACACAGTCACTGTTGCAGGTTGGGTTTCTCAAGAAGCAGCCTCTGAAGTCAGAGATTTGTCTACAGAAAGATTTCTGGGAAACGCTGTCTGGATCTCTACCAGAGACAGAAGCAAAGAAAGCAAGATTGGGCAGAGGAAGGAGCAAAAGCCTCAGCCAACCCCACAAGGAGCCCCGAGCTGGAACAGCCCTTCGGAGCTGTAACATTTGGAGCAAGGGGGCCTGAGTCATTATATTGCAGCACTCACTGCATGGGGTCTGACTCCCGACAGGGAAGTGACCTTGGACAAGACAGTGTTCTTTGCTTGAGGACCATTTTTTGAAAGAACGAATAGCTGAGAGCTTTTCTGCTGACAGCATTTCCAACAGTTGGGGAAGTAAGTCCTTCCCAAATACTACATGGTATATATTTAAATACACCTGCATGCACATATATGCACACACACGTACATATATATGCATATATACATATGTATTCAATAAATGGCAGCAATTACTTTATTGTATATTATATTTGTATATATTTATTATATATTATATATTTATTATATAGTATATAGTACATATCATGCATTATATGTGATATGTAATACATCATAATAATATAAATAGTAGACAAGGTCCGTCTGGGAACCCACCAGACAACTTTGCTCCTACCGTGTCTGCATTCTCACTGTGACATTTGTTAACTGTACTGTTAAAACAGTGTGGGGATAACCAGGGCCTTAAACTAAGCATATTAGTAGCAAAAAGTAAAGTTCCAATTCAGTTAATCTCACATGATTACAAATAAGTGCATCCCATCCCTCTAGAGCTTGGGGCCTTTAAAGCATTGCATTTCCAGAGCTAGATATTTAAATTTTCCAAGCAAAAACTTATAAATATTCCTTAGACAAATATATTAATTAGAAAATTAACTGCCTTCATGGAGTAGCATTGTAGGCTGTGTTTTGCTAACTGCCTTTATGAAGTAGCATCTTAGGCAACATATCAACTATTAATTGGCTCTCTTTGGTAAGGGGGGCTTGCCCCTTCGGTTGTCTCCTGAGCATTTCTTATGCTGACCAAGGCCATCAGATTCATTTTTAGAGCTTAGGGAGCTCTTACAAGTCTGGAAGACTTAATTGAAGTTAATTCATATACTCTATGAGTAAGTTCGAGAGAAATTTATTGTTCAATTAACAAATAATTTGAATGTTATTTCAATTTTTATTACTTCTTGCAATAGTTTTTGTCTCAGCTTTAATCCCCGATTCTCCAAATACTTCAGGGGTTGCTTTGGAATATATGTATGAGTTTTCAAAAGGAAAGTAAAATAAAATACTCTTTCTTGAAGTAGAATCCATGTGCCATGCATTGTAAATAAAAATCAATATAAACTAGCTCTGATTGCTGTGAAAAGGATGATATTTTCAAAACTACTTTAAAAATAAACATAAAGTGGATTTTTCTCTCAGGATACCTTTTCATGGTTTCAGTCCCTGGGAGAGAATGTGGCAGGTTATTATTAAACCCTGTGACCCCTTGACCCTGGTTCATATGAAGACAGTGAGAATAGGTCCGAGTTATTAAAGAAATCTTGACATAGACACATTCTTTCTTTAATAGTGAGAAATAAAAAGGTTTTTCTTTACTCTGGGGAAAGGCTATTAAAGCTGAATAATACAGTGTCCTCTCGGAGATAAAAATTCTTTTTCATACTCCTAGGGAAGTGTATGTTTCACTCTCTAATTTTTCTCATAAATGCACAATATGGAGGTGATTTGTGATGTTATAAAGAGCAATAAACCAAAAGCAAAATAAATCTGTTAAAAATATGGACCGTTAAATATTCTTCCCATAAAATTCAGAATGAGAAAAATTTCTATTAGACTAGCTTCTAAAAATGTATTTGAACTATTATATGAAGGTGCCATTTATTGCTATAAAGGAGAGGAATTTGTCAAGTAGATAATCTTTCTATTACAAGTTATTCAAGCAGTTATTGTATATGCAAATAATTGATTTCGCTACAAATCACATGAGCTGAAATGCAGACTACATTTACATATCAATCTTTATTTGAGAAAGTTAAATGTTGTGCTGTTATAAAATAATAGTAGGTAAATATTACTTAATAACAGAGTTTATCTACCTGTGCTAGCAAAGCCAAACACTAAACACCCAGAATTGCAGTAGAGATATTTGGCTATTTTAAAGATCATCAACTTTCAACCAGTGTGCCATGGCACTGTTATGCCGTAAGGATTTTTAAAACATGCAATACCCATTTAGTCAGGGGCGCTGACCTCTTTTCCCGTAGACTGTCAAATAAATTAAATGACAACAGGCAACAATAGCCATCCAGTGTGACTGAATCAAAACTGTATCTTTTTTTTGTCAAATCAGCAAAAAATTTATTTTTTGGTGTTCCCCAGAATTTTGGTAATAGTTTATGTGTGTCATGAGATGAAAAAAGTTGAAAATCGCTGTTATAGATGAATGGTGCCACCCAGGAGAACGGGAAGCTAATGCTCAACAGCCCCAGTCCCAAGGGCACGGGGAATACAGGTTACCTAGGGCAGAACCCCGGCGCCGGGCCAGCTCCCGATCCTGCGGTGCGCCGGCTGCTCGGCGGCGAGGCAGGGACGGCAAACTACTTCAGGCCTCGGGGGCAGCCCTGGGATCTGTTCCATTGTTTCTCTGTCTGGTTTCACGGAAAAGCAGTCGGGGTCATTTCAGCTGAGGGCGTAGGAGCTGAAACCTAACTTAGGCCATGATGTTATCTTATCCAGCCAGATGCCTTTTTTAAAAAAATACATATCTTTATTGATTTCAGAGAAAGGAAGTGAGAAGGAGAGAGAGAGAGAAACATCAATGATGAGAGAGTCATTGATCAGCCGCCTCCTGCACGCCCCCGACTGGGGATCGAGCCCGCAACCCGGGCCTGTGCCCTGACCGGGAATCAAACTTCCATCTCCTGGATCCTAAGTGGACGCTCAACCGCTGAGCCACGCCAGCCGGGCCCAGCCAGATGTCTTGACCTTGTGATCATTAGTCAGGTTCACACTACTGTCTTCTGCTGCCTCGGTGGTTGCTGATTTTAGAGGGGAAAGCTAGGCCTCTGAGAGTGTAGGCAGATGGAAAGAGAGATGATTTCTAGAGCCAGAATTTAAAGCTAAATTTAATCAGTCATAAGAAACCTGGATTTAATTTGCTGTTTCAACCTCTCTCAGAAAGATAACAATCAGTCTGAAATTTTCTGGTCAACAGCAATGAGCTAATCTGTCACTCGGGCCTTCCACACCCCACCCCTATAAAGAGAGGCAATCTGCGTGATAAATACCCTGGCTGTTTCATTCTCCTCAAAAGGAGATGTCTTGGTCTAAAAATACTATTTTCTTTTTCTTTTGTTACAGCTCCCTCATTCCAGCCTTTTTTCCTATAAAAGCCTTCCGTTCTATGGACCCTCTCAGAGCAGCCTTCTAGTTGCTAGATGAGATTCATCAGGATTTATGAATCATTGAATAAAGCCTGTTAGATCTTCAAATTTATTCAGTTGAATGTTGTTCTTTAACAAAAAGGTAAGATATAAAAACCTTTACAGACAATAGGTGAGCGGTTAGAAAGTGTCAATAGAAAAAGTATGTCATTCCAAGTCTTCCTTTGGCAAGAAACCCAAATTGAGACTGGGCCATGCTAACCAACTGTCAGTTTTAAACATTTGCACGTGAAAAGATACAGCTTACCTAAAAAGATAAAGGTAATGAAAATGTAACTATGCAAATCACACTCTCTAGAGAAGAGCCTTTTCTGTTGTGGATTTACCAGCAAATCCATTTCCTTTGCCACCAAATCTTCATTAGCATTAAGTAATGAAATTTACATTTGCCACAAAGGAGAGAAATGCTTTTGATTTCTTAACACTACGAGGACTCTGGTCTGTAATGGAATCGAATTCTAATTAGGTTCCAATAAAGGGTATTATTAGAGTTTGTTCATAAAGGTTTTAAATGAAAAAGAAATAGAGAAAGAACTGCTATTGTGTCTTGCTTACATAATATTAGATTGCTTTTATAATTACAAATGATTCCTTCACAGCATTTTATATAACTTGTTTGACCATCTCTTAGGCTAAAAAGACCATGAAAAAGATGAACCCTCATTATTTTAATATTTGCGTCTATCTGTAAAAAAATAAGGCTGAAGCTTTAATGTATTTTCTTCTTGTGTTATGTATTATAGTATATTTCAATATAGACTTCTAGAGCCAAATATTTCTTAGAGAAAATAATATTGTTCTAATTCTAAAGACAAATACTAATAAAAAAAGACACTTTCATCTAATTGCTAGAAAATGCTACAATCATACCTGCTGAAGGAACGAAGAGGCTTTCTAATGAAACATAGTTTTCTGTTTTCATTAGTTCTTTCCTTTTTATTGCTTTTTAAATTAATTTTCTCTTACTCCTAGGTACTCCCCTGGTATCTAAGCTAGTGAGTAATAAGCATAAGTGCAAGCCTGAGGCAATAATGGAATCTGGGAAACTACATAAATGCTGGCATGCTTTCATTTCTCATAAAAGCTAATCGCTTGACATGATTAGGTAAACACCTTGAAGCAGAAAGATATTATTTACTGGAATGTCAAATGTAAAATGCTATTACAGAAGCAGCAAATGTAATCCCAGTTAGTTTCAGTGTACCATATCTCAGCTCTAAAAGATTTTCTTCTTTGAAAAAAAAAGCATTTTAGGACTGTTACAGAAATCGAATCTCCAATAACTGATGACTTCGTGATGTGAAGGTTGATAAAGACTAGAGTTACTCCCTTTTCTATGTGTGTTTAAATAACTAGATGATTTTTCCATTTTTATTTGGTGAGGGAGGTAAAAAAAAAAAAAAAAGGCATACAATGCAAACAGCAAAATAGAGCTAAATCAAACTTGCAAAAGCATGACAAAAAACATTGTCGACTGCTATTTATAAAACAGTTTAATATAAAGTGTTATTCTACTTATCTTGTTTTATGACTCCTCAAGAAAAGTGATTCTTTTNAAAAAAGGCATAAAATGCAAACTCAGCAAAATAGAGCTAAATCAAACTTGCAAAAGCATGACAAAAAACATTGTCGACTGCTATTTATAAAACAGTTTAATATAAAGTGTTATTCTACTTATCTTGTTTTATGACTCCTCAAGAAAAGTGATTCTTTTTTTCTATTAAAAAAATCATTTTTATATCAGGACATTGGGTTTTTCTGCTTGTATGTCCCATAATTTTATTTCAATTTTAATTTGACAGAGAGACTAAAATACAACCTTTTCCAGCACTGTTACCAAAACCCCAATTTTTTTTTAGTCCATCTGCCTGTGGGCAGTGGGCCAAAAAAAATGCATGAACAGGAGTTTGCAGTATAGAAAGAAAAAATAGTTTAATACTGAATTGACCAGTATGGAGATGGGGAGCTTATACCCTAAAGACTTGACTCCCTGCTGGCTTGTACGTTGCAGATTATATACAGCAAAACCACAAGACACCTTGTGTTAGGGGTTTAAGGTAGTGCTGGGAGCTGACTGGTCAGAGATGAGGTAAGTAAGGGTAATAAATCATTTTTTCAGGTCTTGAGACAGTTCTGAGGTCTTTTCCCGCGTCCCTTTGTTGCTGGTAGAAATGGGGTCCTTGTGGTGTTGCAAGAAAAACATTTCAGGGACCACCCATGGGAGAAGGAGGTGTGGTGGTAAGAGTTATTGAACGTGGGGCAAACACAAAAGACTAGCCGGATTCAGCTCTGTCCCACTGTGGAAGAAGTCTGGCCTTGTCTTTATGATGCCCCAAAGTAGGGCCAGGGGCCAGAAATTCTGCGCCATTGATGTAGTCCTTTTCAAAGCTTAGTCCAGTTGTGCTCCCTGTCTATTTTTAGCTTAGTCCTGTTCCCAGCTGTGCTCAGGCCAGCACAGCATCACCTACCCAGGCTCATGCCTGGAACCTGCACTTGGAGTTGCATTTGGAGCCAGCAAGGCTGCCAGGCCCGTACTTGAAGCCTGAGCTTGGGCCGACATGGCCGCTAGGCCCGCATGGCTGCTACAGAGAGAGGTCTCAAGGGCACACGGGTGAGCCCGTGTAACCAAGTGACAGAGAGGGCTCACCTCTGGTAGGCTTGGATTATATTATCTTGGTCTTGGTAAATACCAGGTGCTCTTTCAAACTAACCAATCCACTTCCCAGTCCTTCGCAGTTTTGTGCTGGGCTCTCCCTCTAAGCAATCCATTTCCTACGTCTTCTGGGGCCCTGTGTCCCTTTTTCAGTCCCATCCTTTGTCCAGGCTAGGCAATTCACTCTTATGGTCACCATCCGAGGTCCTACTGTGCATGCCTCAAAGTAGAAGGACCTCCCCTGCACCATCTTGGCTTCTACTGGGCATGCACTCAGTAGAGGAATGTCTCCTCTACTGTTTCATCTTTCCCTTGGTAATTCCTGATAATGACCAGAAACTATCCTTCCAGCCCACTTTGGGAATTAGGTCCCAAGGTGGGAGAATGCAATGGTCCCTGGGAGCCTATGATGCTAAACTTTCTGGTGAAGGGGGCTTAGTGTCCGAGTCAGCTCCCTAGTTTATTACAATTAATGATGTCTGATCCTCTTTGCTCCCTTCCTTTATTAATATCTAACCACCTGCACTAACACTTTATCTGGTCTCATGGGAAAGAAGCCAGGGGGTCTTTTCACCTTAGGACTCAGGAGCTGAAACAACTTAGGTGAAGATATTATCTCTAGCCTGCCAGAGGTCTGGATCTTGTGACCATTAGTCAAGCCAGGCTGCTGATTATCCAGAGGAAAGGCTGAGCATCCCAGTCCCTACTTTTCCATCTTAATTGCCAATTGACATTCATGAAGAGACTTGCTTTCTATCTGTGGCCTTGTATTCTTGGCAAATACCTCCTCCCTTCTATAGTAATCTAACTGTTAGAGTTGTCTGAATGCTTCTCTGGAATGCAAATTCCTGTTAAGCTTGGGATCTCAACTCTGATTTTTAAAAGAGCAGTGTCTGTGCCTACAGTGCTTTCTGTTCTACAGGGTGTAGGGTCATTTCGATCTTCTGGTCTTTCCAACTGTCCCTTGTTTTACTACAGGTAATCAGACAAGTTTCTAAGGTACAACACAGACACTGTGTCTGCTTTGTTTAAAGATATTATTCCATTCCTATTTTAAAAAACTAAAAAAAAAAAACTCATTTGAGTGTAACTTGGTTTTTGGTACAATCCTCACAAGTTAATTCAGTTGAGAAATCTGTATGCAAATGTGCTTTCTGGTTACTGTCTTGGCTACTCACACAGTTTTATGTTTGCTTTTTTAAAATAACTTTCCATTTTTGCAGGGCTACTCAAGGGTAGGAACAATGGAAACCACAGCTTCTTTGTTAGTTGAAAAGGCTTTGGAAATCTTAGTGAAGGTTAGAGTTGACTCACTCATACACAGCCCACTAAGAAAAAGGAAGGTGAGCAGTCACCTACAGCTGTAAAAGGAGCACAGGTAGTCTCTGATTTTTTTAATCTGACCTATTGGACAATTTTATCATGATCATCATCAGTTATCATCATTCTCAACAAAACCATAAATTTATTCAGTTTCACAAAACGAAAGTTGATAGCAATCGAATCCTTTGAACCCTTGATTTGAGATCATGTTGATCTGACCCCAAAGCTTATATCATAATATCACTAATATTTATATATGTGAATATTAATCTGAAACACATTTCACAATTAATAGAACTAAGGCCCAGAATTGCATTTGCAAGAAAGCAAGACAATCTCACTTGGTAACTTTACCTTATATAGTTATTGGCTTCAAATCTGAACAATTCCCATAAAGCCTGCCTGGTTTTGTTTCTTCTAGATAAAACAAAACATTTGCTTTACAAACATAATAATCAGATTATAAAAAAACTCCTCAAATCAAACATATACAATGTAATTTACAGCAAAAGCTGTTTATACAGGCATTTTCACTGAAACCACCAAATAGAAAAAAAGTATTATTGTATGAACTTTCTGTAGTAAATAATTTAATTACAGAAAAGCATCTAGTTGTCTTCATAATCTGACATAATAGCTAAGGGCAAAAAACACCACCCAGAAGTTCAGAAGTTTCTTTTAGTGGCTTCAGTAACATAGGAGGAACATAAAGAAACTTAATTATTAATTCAAACTTAAAAAAATTCTGCCTGGCCGGGTGTAGCTCAGCGGTTGAGCATCGACTTAGGATCCAGGAGATGGAAGTTTGATTCCCGGTCAGGGCACATGCCCAGGTTGTGGGCTCGATCCCCAGTCGGGGGCGTGCGGGAGGCAGCTGATGACTCTCATCATTGATGTTTCTCTCTCTCTCCCTCTCCCTTCCTCTCTCTGAAATCAATCAAGATTTATTTATTTTTTTTAAATCTCTAAACACCAAATCCTTCCATGTGGGCTGTGGATTTGTTAGTAGGTTGCTTTCCATTGTGGCAAAATGATTAACGTTTTCTCCCTAAATGGAGAACTTTAGTGACTACAAAATATGAACTTCAGGTACAAACTCTAGGGCTCCTCTTTCCAATGCCAAGCTCGTTTGTTTTTAGAAATCCTTACCTTATACATTCTTTACTACTCGTGATGGGAGAGATTTAACTGATTAGAGAATGGTGAACCACAGCAAATAAAATGTACTTTTGAACATAGTGTACATTTGCTTTATGATGTTTCTAAAGCGGATAAAGAACGGTGTGAAATGAATGTTAATATCTTTTCATCTACAGATACACTCATAATTATGTGATGTTACATTAAGTTAGCTAATGTTTATGTAGAATCAGTTATATGCCAGGTACTTTATACACACCAGCTTCTCGCTTAATTGATGTTTTATTCTTAAAAATAACTACCAGGGCCCCTGTTTTACCCGTGATTAAATTAAAGTTGAGGAATTTCAGGAAGTTGCCCAAAGTCAAAAAGTAGTAGCATCGGACATGAATGAGTCAGACTACAAAGCCCCTACCCATTCTCCTAGACTAGGGTATGAATTAAGTATTTTTTATCTAAATTGCTTAAATGTGGGGCATAAGAGTCCAAGTATATAAAATTTTAGTTCCTGTTTCCACGTATCTGAAAACCAGTTAGTGCATTTCCACAACTGAGAGCGTAATGGTAAAAGAGAAACTTGATACTTTCAGTTTCCTTTATGAATTCTGACCTGAATTGATTTCTCAAACATTCCAAGTTTACCAGCATGTTGGACACTCAGCAATTATGTTTTCGTACAGTGCTTTTTACCTGCAATCAACATCTTTATGAAAGACATTTTTGTAAAAGGAAGCAAGTTTTAATGAGTGAGCTACACGGACATTTTTATCTCACACTCAACAATGACTACTACTGTTCTTATAATTGGCACTTCTCAGTCATAAGACATCCCTTTGTGGTTGTCATAATTGGTCTAATGAATTTCTAAAAATAAATGAAAGACTAATTTGATCCGGTGCCCATGAACAATCCGCTCATTCACATCTAAATCACTGACCTGATTTGGAGCCTAGTCATGCCAAAATGAAGTCATGCTTTTCTGTTAAGTGTGTTGCCTCAGTGAAAGCATTTGAATGGCCTGTTCTTTGGGTTTGAAGTGGGGGTTTCCAGTAACAAAGAAACACAATTTGATCTCATAGCCTCAGACACCACAGACTTATTTTCAATGATAGGAAGAAAGTCTGAGTCATCATTCAGTTCGTGTTTTTCACCTACGGAAAGAACCTGCTCCTTACCTTAGACTTGAGCAGCTTAGGGACATGGCAGGATACTTCAAAATGGACCAATGACAAATAGAAGAATCAAAACCAGAAAATATAAGAGTAAATTTTCTTGACCTTGGATTTGACATCAGATTATTTGATGTGATGTCAAAAACAGGAGCAACAAAAGAAAAGATGCACAAATTGGACTTCATCAAAATTAAAATTTTAGTGCATCAAAGGACACTATCCAAAAGTGAAAAACCAACTTAGAAAATAGGAGAAAATATGTGCAACTCATATATCTACTAGGGGTTTCATATTGAGAATATGTAACAGGTAACAACAAAAAACAAATCAACTTAAAAATTGGCCAAAAAAAAAAAATTGGCAATAAATTTCAATAGATATTTCATCAAAAAAGATATATGAATGGTCAATGAGCACATGAAAATATATTTAATATGGTTAGTCACTAGGGAAATGCAAATCAAAATCACAACTCGATACCACTTCACGCCCACCCCAGTGACTAGAATTAGAATAAGAAAGGTAAGTGGCAAATGGTGGTGTGGATGCAGAGAAGTTAGCAGTCAGATACTGCTGACTGGAATGTAAAATAATGCAGCCGACACAGAAAGTAATTTAACAATTCCTCAAAAAATTAAACAGAGTTACCATGTGTCCCAGCAGTTTCTCTCCTGGGTATGTGACCAAAATAATTGAAAAGAGGCTCAAACAGATACTTGAGTGCCAATGTTCACTACTCCCCAGGAGCCAGAACGTGGAAGCGCTGCAAAGGCCCAGCACCAGGTGAAGGGAGAAACAAAATGCAAGATACATATATATACATAAAAAGCAACATAACTCAACTCATATTCCTCTTTAAAAAACAAATTAATTGATCAGTCATAAAAAACAAACAGCCAGACGAAGAGATGCGAGTTAGCTTCTTAGACATCCATAACCGATATTCTAATGCTACGTAATCACTTTTTTTTTTTTAATATATCTTTATTGATTTCCGAGAGAGAAAGGAGAGGGAGAGAGAGAGAGAAACATCAATGATGAGAGTCATTGATCGCCTGCCTCTTGCACGCCCCGACCGGGGATGGAGCCCGCAACCCCGGCATGTGCCCTGACCGGGAATAGAACCGCGATCTCCTGGATCCCAGGTCCACGCCCGGCCGGGCTCTAAGTAATCACTTTAACGGGGATTCTACACTTTGCAAATATATTTGTCTTTGCTGTGTTTTGATCAGAGAACCCTAGTGATTCATGCAGAGAATTTGATTTATATATTATTTAATTTTTATTTTTTACTTTATAAAATATTGGTAGGATGTAGTTAGACACACAAACAATAGATGCTAAGCTTTTGCAAATTTATCTACAGTTCTGATAACAAACACGATAAGTGTATTGCTAGCAAGATTTTTTTAAATCTACTTTATGACAAGGTGATACTTGCACTTAAAAATATTAAAAGGGCACAAGAGGATACAAAGTAAAAATCAACTCTCTTTTACCTTTCTCCCCCAGGCAACCTGGGATTCGACCAGCGTAAGCAGCTTTCTGTGAGCAGGTTTGCATAGGTGTGCACTTGGGGATACTTTCACAGACATCCTCTACAGGTTCAAGAATTTTTTAATACAAATGCTTTCGCTTAGCATACAATACTCTGAACTTGCTTCCTGGCATCCACCTCCCATCAGCTAAACGTTCCATTGTGGCAAAACTTACAATTTGCATAGTATTAGAGCTCCCCGCCATTTGATCATGATTTTATATTATATAAAATTATAATTCTTATTAAATGGGTATGACAGATTTTTTTAAACAAAACCTTCTATGATGGATGTTTAGGTTTCCAAACAAGGTATTAATGCTTTTAATTTTTAAAAGTTGTACTATCATTAATATTAATAGGAAAAGTGTCGTAATGATATATGAATAGCTTTCTCTAAATCTACTTCCCAAATAGGGAGTAATACAGCATCCTGATACCTACTGCATTGAAAATGTCCTTGAAATAACTTAAATTCTGTATTTTGTATTTTTTTTATTTTGAAATTTTTGTAGTAATTTGTTCTTTGTCTCTTTGCATAAATAAGTTAGACTTTCCAAAGACTGTCATTTCCATTTTACCTACTTTCACTGAAATACTTAAACACTCTCAAAAAAATGTCTGGGAATTTTCATTTGCTGAAATTATTTATGTTCATATTCTCCTGTGTTCTTCCCTTATTTATTTTTCAATCCCTGAACTCTTTTAATTAAGCTCTTTCATTCCCTATAATTATACTTTGCTTTCTCATTAAAACTTCTTATTCCTTAATTTTGATTTTAAAAAGTTATACCTAAAGTGGATTTTATTGAAAATCAAAAGCCTCAAACAGTAAAACAAATAAAAATAAGCATAGTGTCCACCATTTATAGCTCTGAGGGAAGGAAAAAGGTCAAAACTTCTTATTCCTTAATTTTGATTTTAAAAAGTTATACCTAAAGTGGATTTTATTGAAAATCAAAAGCCTCAAACAGTAAAACAAATAAAAATAAGCATAGTGTCCACCATTTATAGCTCTGAGGGAAGGAAAAAGGTCAGAGGAAATGGAAAACATGAAACCAGCACTCTTCCAGGCTGAAATTTGTACAACGATTGTGTCAGGTCTCTCGTTCCATTTTTAAGTGGAAAGTATTTTTTAGTCCCTCACAATACTGAGTAGAAGCTGCAAACACAGTACAGATGTGCCCAGGAACAGACACACTTGTGTTTGGTCCACTTGTATATACTATCTAGCGTTCTTTGTCGCTCGATAGTCTTAAACTCAGTCTACTATTTTATAACAGCAGTGAGGTTTTTTCAAAAGGACTGGCTGAGTTAATCCTAACATGTTAACAGTAATTTAAATGAACTGTCTTTGGATAACCAATCTGAAGTATTTACAAGGTGTGAAAGGCTAGTTAGCTAGGCTAATTTTGCTTTATCAAAATCATGGCATTTAAGTCATCCTACACAATGAATTATACTTGCCGAATGCATGTATGTTCATAATACTGGATGATTTGTTAGAAAGAAATCTGAACATTTATTAAGATTTTACTACATGGTTAAAAAAGTATATACTCTTCAGATACAGCATATTTTTTTCTTGTTACTAAAGAAGACCCAGTTTAACAAAACAAATTATTGCTTTTAAGAACCGTTGTATTTTATTTTTATATTCAAATGCTAATCTTAAGGTTATTTCTTAAATAAAAAAGAAAAACAAGAAACTTATGGAATTATAAGATTTTCAGCCAATATTTTCACAGGTTCAGTAGTGTAAGCAATTTGTGAGATTATATATATATATATAATCTCACAAATGTGCCTATTGGGATTCATCAATGGATGTTAACAGAGCATCTATTAAGAATTTTATTGACACAAAGAGAAGGGTTTTTAATGAGATATTTAAGTTAAAAAGAAGGAACAAAACATGAATCTGCCAAAGAAAATAGGTTTATTAGGGTCAAAAATTTCTCAAGGCCAGTTCAGCTATCTCTAAACGCATTTATAGATCCCACAGTGATTCTTCAGCTACCCACTGCCCAATCAACCAAGGAAGCAACAATACCATTTAAATCAGTGTGACTCTGTTTTACCCACCACATAAACATGTTTTATATACAAATATTGGTATTATATAAAATTGCAAATAATTGGAAAACAGTTAAATAGCCAATGATTTAAAACAACACATCAGACCTGAAATCCGAAGTCTTATGCCTATTTATTTTTGATAATCTATTAATTTGTCTATATTTATTCTGTCCATTCTGAAAATTTTATTTAACTTTTAATCAAGTTACTAATTAAAAAATTATTAACTATGGAATGGTTATAAAAGTACTCTCAAGTGTCCTTGAGACACTCATCTTCTTAATTGTTTCTCCTTTAACTCACAATAATGAGGAATGTAAATCAATTTCTATTTCTGTCTCAGTTGTCATTAGTTGGACAACTGCTATTTGCTGACTCACCAACATCAAGCCTCGCTCCCGAGCTAACACTGGGATGATCTGTCTCTTTCCCCTACCCTGCCTCAGATCTCAGTGCTTTAATTTTTTTCAGCACATTTAATGAAAAAATCCACTTCAACTCTTATTCCTTAATTGGCTGCAGTGATTCACAACAAAGAAGTCATCTCCTAGCACATTCCCTGCTCACAATTTCAATCCAGCACAGCAGAGCTCTTAATTGTCCCCCTGTAAGCTTCCTCGTTTCCTTCCTCTAAGCATTTTCGCAAGACAACACGTCCAGGGGTTGCAACAGCCTTGGGTAAAGCTGCACTGCAAACCAAATCCGCGTCTGAGACTCAGGTTGTTTACTGTAGAAGAATTCCTTCTTAGATACTCAGCTACGCCTCTTCACGTATATTGCAGTTGTTTTACTCTCCTTAATATGATTATTTGGTAGTAGGTATGTCATTAAAATGCAACCTATAGAGAGGACACTTAATGCAAATATATTGCAATAAAAACTATGAACCAGATTCTCAACTTGACTTTTTATTTTTGGAGTGAGACCCAAGTAATAGAACCTCTTTCCCCTGCTTAAAATTAGAACCATTTGAGAAATTAGACAAAGGGTTAGGCCCATCGGGGCCTGGATGTCGCCTTCATGATCGGTTGAGCTTAAACCGCAGGTGTCATTTATGTCTCTGGGCAAGAGCTTCTCTATAGTGAACCCTGGCCCTGGGCAAGTGTTACCACCCCGCCGGCCTTTTAAGCTGTTTGACCAGGAGAAAAAAGGAAAGCCTCTCCTCAGGAGCCAGGTTTGAGGAAAAGAGAAGGAGTGAGATGTGAATTTTATGCTCAATTTCTCCTTCTAAACCCACCCAGCAGTTTAGTCCGCCTTGGCCAGGACACTGAGTGACAGAGTAGAAAGCCTGTGCTTGTGGTGTCCTTGCCGCTTAAAAGGGAAATAAAAAACCAAAAAGGAAAAGAGACCCCTGGAACACATCTATGGAAATCAGTTAAACGCCTATAGGTTAAAATATTAACTTTATGAATAAAAACATTTAGAAATCATGACTTTTATTATGATGAAAACAATAAAAATAGCAGATGTGGCTTCCATTCTTACCACCCTGTAAATATAAATAATACCACATTCACAGAAAGGAAGAACTGATTCATGAGCCAACCTACGTAACACCAGGCAGTGAGTTTCTGGGGAACCCAACTCCTAAGCATTATGAAAGTCCCCTGGGAGCTACTTGCATGTGCTCATACACAAGTTTATTCTGAATGAAGGCTTCTGCTGTGTCACCAGTCATTGTGGTTTAAATAAAATTTTTTAAAAAATGGTTTGCTGCTCTGCCGGTCTCTGCTGCTGTCCCATAGAACAGCAGTATCTCCACTGAGGATTGGTTGCTGCTACATTTCCTTTTAGATGCTACAGATTTTGCCAAAGACCATAATCTGTTGGGTGTCACTGTCAATACACACCCACGCCTCGAAGCAACAGTAGTGAGAATAGAGTCAGGCCAGGCTAGGCTACACTGCAAAAGCAAACACCCTTAAATTCTGGTGGCTGAACACAAACGAGACCTATGTCACATTCACATTACAGTCTGATACAGGGCTTGGGATTGTAGCTCGCTCCCATTTCATGACGATGCCTACCTGCAAAATGTGACCCCTGTGCTATCCATGGGCAGGGGAAGAGAGCGTGCGCAGTCCTGCATAGGGTTTAGTGACTAATTCTGGAGTCACATAATTTCAGTGGTGCATACATTTTGTGTATGTCTTTCCAACTCCAAGTTTACTGATGCCACGATGTATTTACATCAGGAAAGCTGACAGACGCTAAAAACAAGGTCCCTGTTTTCCATCTTTCCAGGAAGCTGGTTTACCAACATGCCAGAGCATACATTATTTCCACTCTCCTCCTACCATCACAGGGCCTCACTTTAATTGCAAAGGAGGGTGAGAGATATATGCAGTGTTTCTCTGTGTCCAGGATGAAGAAATGGTATTGGCGAACGCCCGGCCAGCCTCAGGTGTAGGGCCTGAGCTGTTGGATCAATCGCTGCGCTGAAATGAGGGAGGATTGTACAGCTATTGGTCTGTTTCACTTTGTCAGGATCTATCGTTGTCCATGGAGTCTACTCACATCACAGTGTCTTACAGAGGTTGTGGGGTTTTTTAACCTTCACCTGAGGAGATGTTCTTATTGACTTCAGAGAGAGAGAGAGAAACAGATGTCAGGCCCTACCTCCTCATCTGGAAGTTTGAAGTCCCCAGCCCTACAAAGGTAAAAGGACTTGACCAATTCAAGAGCTATTTAGCAGCCCATCAGGGCTGGAACTTAGGTCACCCTGATTCCTAGTGTGGACTGAAATGGTTAGACAAGCACATATAAACTTGAGCAGGTCATTATATTTGCTTTGATTAGATTTTGTATGTTCATGTCGCAGTTCTAAAATTTAACAAAAAGGTTTAGGACCTATGGGTATTTTTAATACCTTGCAGTGATTTAGGTAATGGAGATCCTTTAAAAACGTATGCCAGGTCACGTCACTCTATTAAAAACCTTGCAATGG